TCTTTGCTGCCCTTCTTGACACCAGGCCGTTGTCCAAAAGTCTTGGCCTCACTGTGCGTGCAGATGCTCTCACACAAACCTGCTGCCACTCCTGAGCAAGCTCTGCACTGCTGGTGACACGATTCCGTAGCTTAGGGATGGGCGATACCTCTTATTTTATTTTCAATCCGTTACCAATATTTTCAAGCCCAGTATCGTTGATATTGATACAGATACTTCTAAACTAAACTGATCTTTTAATTTATTAAAAGAATATAATCAGTAATTATACTCACTTAATATTAGATTTTAAAGCCATGTTTTTAACTTTTCATAGGCCTTTTTTTGTTTACACTGTCAGAAATAAAATATACTATAATTGTATTTTTGCCCTTTATTGGAGCAGTAACCTCAAAGGTGCACCTATACCCCTAAAAGGCAGCATATTAGTACCATACAAGTATGCATGCTTTAAGGGTAGATAAGTTACAAAGGTGCACCTTTGAGGGTACCTCATGAAAAATAAACATGGTGTTACTGGTAAGTGCTAAAAGTGCTAACATGGTAAGTACTAAAATGTATTATTATTATTATTACCATGGTAAATTTGTGGTTACTGCAGTTTTACTACAAATACTGTGGTAAACAAATACTGTAGTACAAATACTATGGTAAAACCATGGTTAATTTTTGTAAAAGGCTGTTGAAACTTTAGCATTTTTTTTTTCTGACAAGATTTATTAACAGCAATTACAGAACATAACACAATCCGTTTGAACTTTTAACAACCAGTTTAAATAAATGTACTTGCACAAACTAGCCAATTTAAAATAAATATTACATGTACACAAAAGTTTGGGGTCAGTAAGATTTTGTAATATTTTTTTTTAAGTCTCATGCTCACCAAGGCTAAAAAAAAACAAGCAGTAAAAGCAGCAATATTGTGAAATATAACAAATAAAATAACTGTTTTCTATTTTAATATATTTTAAAATGTAATTTAAAATGCATCTGTTATCAAAGCTGAATTTTCAGCATCATTATCAGTCTTCAGTGTCACATGATCCTTCAGAAATAATTCTAATATCATTTGCTGCTCAAGAAACATTTATTATTATTGCTGCTTCATATTTGTGTTACCTATCCTGAGTGTAGAATATGTAAACACTTTTTAATAAAATGTAAATTCGTCCCCCGCGCTTTTTTAGTCAAGTCACGTGTGTTCATAGAGGTTTCCATGGGCCAATGCGAATAAATCTAGATTTAAATTCAAAAACACACGATATTGTCAGACCTGACGTTTTATTCTTATCCAAAACAACTAGATGTGATATGAGTGTGATACATACATACATACACTACCAGTCAAAAGTTTTTGAACAGTAATATTTTTTAATGTTTTTTAAAGAAGTCTTTTCACACCAAACCTGCATTTATTTGATCCAAAATACAGCAAAAGCGGTAATATTGTGAATTTTTTTTACTATTTAAAACAACTGCTTTCTATTTAAATATATATTAAAATGTAATTTATT